AAAGATCTTCCGCTAACAAAAAATACTTTTGCTTACAGCACTGCACTTTGCGGTTCAAACAAAAACAAAGATGTTCCGCTAACTTTGAAAACAAAAAAATACTTTTGCTTACAGCACTGCAACACACTATGTGATGTACAGCATTTATATATTTACTGCGTTACACAACACATGCGATGTCAAGCATCGTACACATTCGTCGGCTATGGAAATTAATTCCGAAAGCTGCAGTTTCACGGTTTATGGATGGCTTCACGGTCAACGTTCAGGGTTTACAATGATGGCCTTTCAATGGTTCCCTCCTCTGTGAAAATTAAAATGTTCAACTAGACAGGAGTAACATCATGCGGCAGGTTGTTGTTGGGTCGGGGTACGGCTAAGAAGCGACAAGTCACATTGTTGACAATATGGAGAACTGAAAGGTAAAAAAAAAACAGAAATAGATATATCAATAATATATAAATAAATAAATCATACAGACAGCAGCAGGATAACTGCCAGTAATATTGTTGACGTACACTCCAGTGATTTTTACAGCCATCGGGGTCAGAGCTTTAGAAATACGTATTCTTCTATGTCTTATTTTGATCAAACTGTCGGTCGCTACTCGACTACAGGTTCTACAGCATACTTTCATTTTAGTTAATCACTTAGGTGAAAGTTTAATCTCCACGAGTCAGGTCACTGTAGCAACAAGATACTCAGATAAGAACAAATCCAAACATTTACTCATTAAACTGACGGAGTTGTTGATTATTATTGTATCAAATGACTGCTGTGTAGCTGGCATTTGGAAAAGCTGATAGGCTAAATATACAGAAAGGCTACAAGTGACAATTATAAATATGTTATGGATGATTACTTAATTAGTCATGTGATTGACAAAATGTCAATTAGTGTTTTTATCAATCAACTGCATCTTTCACACTAAATATTTAGCACAATGTCAATTAGTATTTTTATCAATCAACTGCATCTTTCACAAGGGTTAAACTCAAACATGTCTTAGTAACCCAATCTTATCCTAGGTTAGTACATATCAACATTCTAACCTCAACATTCAACTGAAGAACCCTCCAACTCTCCATTTAGACGAAAAGCCATATGAAAAGCCATTTTATCTAGGTTTTATGTTTTTGGTTGGTTTTTTGTTTTGTTTTTGTTTTTAAAATTGTTTTATTTCAGTTTTTACATTCCTTGAAAACTGTTTTATTTCAGTTTTTACATTCCTTGAAACGCAGACAATAAACACTGGTCATAATCAATCAAGGGTTTACCAATTCCCACATCCAACACAGTAGCTGGTTTGTAAATTTAGTATGGGATGGTTGAGACAACCCATGAGTTACTCAGCAGACCACTTCTCTCTCTGCATGCCATGCATTTAATAGAGATCATCCATCTTTTCCCTCTCGTTTATGGCCCATCTAAACACAAATCATCTACATCCAGGTCAGCTGAGTAACAACAACTTCTGCTAATGGTGATACATTTTATGGGGGGAACAATGAGTGTACAGAGTTAGGAAGAACAAAAAAAAAACCCAGCAATTTGTGTAAAAAGACAACGTAGATGGACAATTGCACTGATTACAGGGTCTGAAACTTTTACTGTAGCTTCCTTATATGAAGAGTGATCGGTTCACTTTTGAAAACAATAATTTTCAGACAAATATAGAAGCTGCGGCTGCTTTAAAAAAAATTAAATGTCATGTTTGTGTTTTTATCCGAATGTTACAAGGTTTTGAGGTGGCTGTAGAAAACTGTAATACTGTGCACCAATCAGTCTCTGCCAGCATCAGAAACAGGATCTGGCCATGGCTGTTTCATTTCACTGAGAATCAAGTCTTATAATTATGATGCAGCAAAGTTTTGATTTCTAAATCCTAAAATTACTGATCCTACTAGGACTAGGCCAGAGCGAATATGCAGAAAATCCCTTCGTAATTAAATCCACTGAAAAATATGACTCCTCAGTCGTTTCTCTTCTTTTTTGGCAACTTGAACAGTTTGGTGGTGGACTCATCTACATGGATGTGCCTTCTCTTTACTTCCTTTACCCTTGTTTGCAAACTGTCAGAGATCGGAGAAGCATGTGGAAGAGGAAAGTCTTGTTAATTATTACATTTTAGCATTTTGTAATTTTGTGTCATGAGTGAGGTATTTTCTCCTCACCATGTTTGTATTTTACAGGACAAAATGTTGGGCTTCAGAAAAGCACCTCTAGATAAACCTGCATTCGCTATTTATTTCAACATGTTTTTGTAAAGATGCTACACACAACTTGGAGTCGAGTCAATGAAGAGGAGAGCAAAAGTGATACAACTTGGAGTCAATGAAGAGGAGAGCAAAAGTGATTTATAGCCAGAGAAAATCAAATATGAACACATCTATTGAAGAACCATTACTCAAAAAACACAATAAGATGCAGAGATAGTTTATTTCACACATCTGCGAGCACAAGCTACTGATCCCGGGACACTGAGCGCCCTCAAAACCATTCTTACTTAATAAGTGCTGTGTCGGAACTGCTTTAGAAAGAGATACATGATGCATTTACTCAACTCTAAGAGGAAAACATTGTTGCTGCACTGTTAAAAACAAGACAAGTCTCTGTGGAGCACTAACAGGCCTGACAATTAAAACCTGGCTAAGGCAAGAGTTAACTGAGAAGGGTACAAGAAACAAGGCTTCCTGCAGTCTCAACCTATCATCTCCTTGCAATAAAACGGTTGCCTGTTACATCTTATTACAGGAGGCAATAGGGAAACAACTGAACGGCATCAGCATGAGGTGAAGAGTTCAATGCTGCGTGCCGGAATAGGATTTGAGAGCGAGAAAAAAAAAAAATCTGCGGCTTTCATTGGACCTCAAAGAGGTTGACATTATCTTCTTTGATCGGAAAGCAAAGAGGAGGACATATGGAGGTTTGGAGGACTGCGGACAGACAGAAAGAGCTTCTGGTGGTGGAAAAAGACAATTGACAGTGTGTCGATAAAGGAACAACCTGTTGGTGTGAGGTAGACACCGCTATCAGAGTTGCAACATGGCAGGATGTGACACACAGAGAGCAGGAAGGAAAATGACCAGATATAGTTTGGCGTGGTAGTAGCTCATAAAATCATGCCTATCCCGTAATAGCAATGCTTAACATTTAACTCCACTTTAACATTTTGTTGAGCCTGGTGTTAAATATTGTTGCTGACAGCTGTCATAAAATCTGATTACTGTCAATCAGAAGTTGAACAGTGTGAATGTTAACTTGGTATAACCTGCTCAAAGTTTGTGAAAAATATCTGCTGGATCCAGCCAACGAGGTACTGTAATTCATGACGCAGACGTTGATTGGAGGGTTGCTTGCATTGGCAGTGTGTGAACTGGGACGAAGGATTAGTAACAACTGCTGCAAATAGATGTGGTGTATGTGTGTGTAATTGAGTGGGTGTATGCAGATGAATGGAATGTAGTGTAGGGCACTCAGACTGGTCATTACCACTCTCTGAGTGTTATATATGTACACATCATTTACCATTAATCGCAACTTCAAAGGCTATGACTTATTGGCTGCTACATTTTTCAGGAAATTGAGGCGTGCTCTGAGGTCAAACCCCTAAATTTAATGAGACCTAATGTGGGTCGATAATTACTTCTTGCACATTTTGCTGCTTCGGAATTGTTACTGAAAGAAGAATAAAATTCCTGTGAGCCAGAAAATGTATTTATAGTATGTAGTAGATTGAGGATACATTAAAAAGAATATTTTTCATTACACTGTTAGTTAAGGGGATAGGTATTTGTAATATGACAAAAATATTAATTACAAAGTGTTGCATATTAGTAAATATATATGTTGCATAGCTATTTGCAGTTGGTTTTTTCATAGGGTTTTCTCTTTGTGAATAAGGACTATTTACTACTTGCTAATGTACATTGTCTTTGCTATTTCTGTCCTGAAGCTGATTGTTGTGGAAAGTTAAAGCACAAAGTTAAAACCAGCAGCAAGTCTGTACTGCACACGTGTGATTGATTAATATTTTTCCATTACTCAAAGGTAATTTGTGAAATATGTAAACTGATTTATAAAAGTTTTGGTCATTCTGTACCTTGAGAAGATATTTCAAAGAACTCCAGAAAAGATATTGATGTTTTTTTAATCTTATTATATATTATATTTTCCATATTTTTTATATTTACAGTATAACCTCTTACTTTTCTGGAATTACTTAAGCAGGTGCAACAATTCCCCTGAGGGGAGATAAATTATAACTTATCCTTATTCACAATTTTACACCCCTGTAGCACACAAGCACACACTGATGACACATACTGATTAGTAATGTTAACCATTACTAACCACTACTAATTAACTGTGCAGCTACTTACCTAGTGATAAAATATACCCTGTCATGAACTTTTACATCATCTTTGCAGAGCTGTTATTATGTTTTACCCTTTCCTGTACAACTAATAACTAAAGTTTCTGTAAACTAGTGTTTTGTTATCGTTGTCACACACGTGACCAAATTAGGGGCTGTATTTATGGACAGTTGTCCGAGTTCAATTTTTACTTTTCTTTTACACGTAAAATGCCTCCCAGTCTGTATAAAATAAAAATAACTGGCTCCTAAATCAAAGCCATATTGGACGGTATTTACAGTACGCATACTCGCTTAGTACTATCTGTCAGCTATCAAAATAGTTGTCGATTAATTAAGTTGTCCTGTCATGTCTTACATTAATCGAGTAATGGTCGCAGCCCCAGACGACAGGTTAAGACAGCTATCAGAACATGAAGAATGCTCTCCACCTCTTTCTGTTGTGAGGGATGCAGCTGAAACACCTATTTTAATAAAATGTTAAAAATGATAAATATTAAATGTTTATAATAGTGGGTGGCAAACAAAACTGGGACGAAAGTATGTCAATGAGTTAAACTAAAGCTGAAACCAAAAAAAAACTGCGGATAAAAACCGCGTTCAGTGGGCAGTGTCTCGAACTTACCTTCAGATAGTTCCAGCTCCAGCTCCGCCAGCTTCTCCCGCACCTCCGCCGGCAGGGTCATAGCGACAGCCGGGGTGGGCTCCATCATCATGGTAAGCACGGTCCTCTCTGCCATGGTGATCCAGTATGAAGCTCAGATAGGTCCACCGAGGAGCAAGGGCACTGGAGAGGAGACAATGCCAAACAACACCTCCCTCCTCTTCACTCGGTTTGGGCTGAGGAGGGCGAAAAGGGTGTTGGTGCTTCTCCTGTCTGACTGCGACGTCGCACAGATGTGTGAGCGGGCAGTGAAAGCGTCATGACACGGCTCGATGCGGGGATAACGCACACACCTGGCTGGGTGTCTCCATGTGTCGTGGCGGAACACAGTCCTCTCCCGGTCTTCTTGCCTGGTGTCCGCCTGTCTGTGTGTGTCTCGGTTTATGTGCGTGTGTCCCTGTACGCCGCCCGTCACTGCTTCCTTCCAACTGTGCAGAAAAACTCATTCAACTCCTCGCTCTCGCTCACTCCACACGGCGCAGTCGCCATTGCATCATAGCAACAGCAGCCACGACCACGCGCGTTCACGAGTGGTGATCGCGGATACGTGTACCTCCTGCTGTTTGACGACACTGCTTCCTACCGACCAAAAAGTGGTACTGGCACACCTATACTGCTGTTTAGCTTCTGGGTATCGTGGTTGCCAGGTTCGCTAGATTGGGTGTGAATCCGTTTTAAAATGTCAAAAGGGTCGCGGTTTGGGGGTTGTTTAAAAAGTAAATTTGCTTAATTAGGGTTACTTCTGCTTGTAACAACGCTATACACGTAAGAAAAGTACAGAGCCCCTAAAGGGGTGTGTGGGGAAAACGTGATTCTGCAAACTTTATGGTGCACAACGTAAAGTTTATTTTTATTTTCCCCATGTCCCTTTCGGCCTATGATTTTAAAACTGTCTTAAAGTCAAAGTTCATATATACCAATTAAGTGGGGTGGCAGAGTCTATGATAAATTTGTTATTTTGCTTTACTTTGTGCTTGTTTTTGTTGACCTGGGATTCTGGACAACCAGGACAACAGTTCTGCACATCTTCATCAAATCTTGAATTATTGTATCTTCAGAAATACGTACAGTAATAACCTTTTATATCAAGAGTAAAGACACGTTAATACCAGGTCAATTTTAATTATATTCAGAGAACATAAAATAAAAATGCTCACCGGTGTCTTTTTGCAATAAAGACATTTATTTAAAAAGAAATATACATTGCTTTTAGTCCATACATTAAACTTAGCAAAAGTATAAAAACAAATGTAAAAAAAACGGATGTAAAATATTTTAAAAGTGTACTGTAGTGTGTACCATACAAAGGTTACAAATATTTCCTCATTTTAGTTTAGCTGCACTGAATAATAATAAAACATGTAATACAGAAAAATAAAACAAATGTTAGACATGATTAAATATTATCAGTTGGGATTAAATAAACCATTCATGTCTATTACTTCAATATTCCTTTCTGCTTTGTGCTGCATTGAACACTAATGTATCTTCACGCATATTTGAGTACAGTATATAAGTTACAAGATAGTAGTAGATAATTTACATCTGGTGAATATATTAAATACACATTTAAATCAAACCACTAGGTGTCCCTGTAGGCAAAGTGACTCGCCCTCGTGGAGAAAGTCAGATGGTCAGCTGACTCTTTAAAAGTAGAGGTCTTTCCTCAGAGTATGTTTTAAATCTATACTGTAGCTTTCCGCAGGATTCCTCTTGTTGTGTTCAAAGATGGCTCCATTTACCTCAGTATGAATATCAAGGAGTTTTGTTTTCCTATAAAAGCCCAACAACAACAGTGAGTGAAAGAGATTAAGAATACATATTCAATTATTATTGAGTAGTCACTTGTACCTACCACTTTTGACCTTTGAGCAAGGCATCGGTCAGAGCCTTCAGGTAAATGGAGCAATGGCGTTCATCCTGAAGTTGATACTCATCCGTCCAACAGTGGCTCCAGAACACGTCTGCTTCAGTGGGTATGCATTCATACCTCAACGGCCCATTACATCCATCCGTTTGTAGATCTTCGTCCCTATACTCAGTCCTGGTGCGGGGTTGGAACACAGCGACGTTGTAGGTCTTGATGAAGAACAGTTTGGGCTTCCCAGCCAGCAGGGGGCATGCATCCGCAGTGAAAAGATGTCTGATTCTGTTTAAATGTAGACTGGTGCACAAGTCTACCCCCAAGAGACGCTTTTCTGAGGCACGGCTAATGATGCAGCAGACCAGGCCGTCACCTTTGAGATTCTCTCTTTGTTTTGATATGTCTCTGAGAGTTGAAAAGATTTCTTCTGCATTCAGCCACTTATAGAGGATCACGTTAAAACGAAGGGTCTTGAATGTTTGTTCCAACATGTCTGAGAAAACAGAGAAGGTATAAACAACCTCATACAGAATTTACATCTAAAATGACAGCAGCTTTTGTTAACGCTCTATTATAGTACATTACATCCAAACTATACCATAACTTTAGTTTGCAGTTGAGTTCCCACTTTACAGTTCCCACTTTACTGCATTACAAAAAAAGTCTAATGACACCAGCTTTTGATGTCTGTGTATTGTGTTTGTGAGTGTATTGTTACTTACCTCCATCCTTTCCCACACAGTCTACGATAACACAAACACCTCGAGGATTACTACTGAAACTGTACTGATCCTGTTGACGCTGAAATTCCAAATAAAGAGATCTGTTATAGTGCTGTACATTTCTGTAGCAACACACGACGAGTGCATATCTCACCTGACAGCTGGCCCCTCTGAGTACACGTGATGGTGGGTTTCTTGTAACTGAAAGCAGCAAAAGCAGTGTACTTGAATACTCAAGTAGTACTTGAACACCTTTATACAAAAATGGCATTTGATGGTTTTAAAATAGGGGCAGTGGGTCATACAGAGCTCTCTTACCGTTATGAAGTAGCTGCTCTTGTCCCCTTTGGCGTAGGAGAGGGGAAATAGTAGGGGTAGAAAGAGGAAACTGACAAAAATAGAAATTTTTTCATAAGAATTAGTTTTAAAACCAGAAACCGAAAAAGCTGGTAATTATCTATATTATTTTGTACTCACAGGGGCTCTGCACC